ACAGGCCTCTCTCATCTTTTTAAGTGGGAGAACTTGCACAACTGGTGGCTGACTAAATACTTTTTTTCCCCACTGTATCTTTGTTTCAAAGATGAAACAGAGTCTTATGGTTTGAAATTACATGAGGGTGAGTAAATGATGACAGAATTAAAATTTTTGGATGAACCAACCCCTCTAAGGTCTCGACTGGTAACCGGTAGGTTGTAGTTTAAAGTCTTGCTACACAGCTACACATTTAACCCCAGGTAGCTCCTAGTGTTGTCTCAACACCATTGAACAAGCTGAACGTTTTTGCGATGCTTCTACTGTTTCAGAGAGCGGCAGCGGGCCTGGCTGCCCGAGGGGAGGATGGCGGCCTGAGACCAGATGGTCTGAATGGGGGTGGAACTGGCGAACCGGAGCAGTCGCACTCCAACACCAGCACCCTGACGGAGAGAGAGCCCAGCTCCTCCAGCCTCTGCAGCATGGACGAAGAACACCTCACCGACATTGAGGTGGTGCGCCGGGTCCTGTGCTCCTCTAGAACCAATGTCAACTTTATCACTGAGATCTTTCGACAGGTAACTCTATCATGAGGAACAGAAGGACTTCAGCAAATCTAAATATAATTGAAAGAGGAAGAAGTCTGGCACATTTTGAAGAAGTTGTGATGAGAGAGGTTGATTGTTCTGATCAGGGACTTCTTTGTCCTAAGGTGATTGGAGCTCACAAAGAGGAACTGCTGTGTGAGAATTGTTAAACATGAATAAGGATTGTAATGGCCCATTTTCTGAAGATCTCAAAGACCCTGTTCAAAATGGTGCACTTGATGTGTACAAAAGCTTTTTTTGGTGTGACGTCATTTATGTCACTGATACTTAAGTATATACTATCTGTACACTGGTTCTGTCTGTGAATATAAGACTGTATTATATTTTTGCAGGCGTTTCTGCTGCCCATGTGTGAGGCTGCAGCCATGCGTAAGGTGGTGCGGGTGTATCAAGAGTGGATCTCTCTGCAGGATAAGCCTGTGTTTATGAGAGAGCCAGAGGAAGACCGATTCACAAGCCAGCTAGACTCCACCCACGAGCAGAGAACTGATAAAGAGGAGGAGGTAGGTGTCTCTGAAGTTGACAACAGAGGAATGCAAAGGCGGTTATTACACGCTGAGTCGGCCTGCACAACAGCTTGGTCCCTGTTTTTTTGCATCAGGCATAACAGTGGTGGTATTGGCTAATATTCATTTTTTTATTTTATTATTGGCTTCTATCTGGCTAAGTTGGTGTAAGAAGCTTATATCAGGGATTATTTTTTGTGTGTACTTTTTCTAAGCCAAGTTTCTGAAGTATAAAAATAGTATTTATTTACAGTATGTATGTATGTATGTATGTATGTATGTATGTGTTTATTTTAAAACAGGATTAAATGGTTCACTGAAGTATTATAATATAATATAAATTATATTATATTATAGTATATTACAGTGCATTATAGAATAGTATATTATAGTATGTTATATTATATCATTGATGATTACAACATTGAAAACAACATTGGAATTTTAGTGTGAGATTTATTTTATTTGTTATAATAGAATATATTTTTTTAATAAAACAGCATATGTTTTTATATTGACCATCTAAGCAATTATCTGTTATTAATTCTGTACTGCTGTTGTTTAAATACCAGTCAATATCTGTTCTGTTTTGTGTGTAGGATATTGGGCTCACGGTGTCCGTTTTGTTAGCTTTGGGATCAACCACATCATCCTTAAGACCCTCATTTACCTCTGATTCTGAGGTATTGGAGTATAATGTCCATGCTGGTGTCCAGGCCACACTACAGGTAAGTTTAGGTGTTGGTGTACAGGTGGTTTACGATCTAGACTGGAAACCAAAAGATTGTTGGTTGTAGATTGTAGGTTCAAACCCTGCAAAAAATAGTTGACCGTTTATTTTTTATTAATTATTTTTTCCGAGTTCAGTTCATGGAATGTTTTGTAAAAACATTTCTCCTTCCAGTCACAGTTCACCACTACAATCTTTTTTTCTTTCAGGTTTTCATCACCAACTCCTCCAACGTCTTCCTTCTGGAGGCAGCCAATGAGCTGAAGTCACTTCTGGAAGAGCATGTTGACATGTGCAAGCGTGTGCTCAATATATACCGCAGTCTGGTCATGCATGAAACCATGAACCAGAAGACCTGGTATGACATGACATTGCACTTCATTACTCTGGCCTCAGGTGTCTGCTTGTAATATCTACTCATCCTGATTGTATTTGTGTCTGTCACAGGGAGCAGATCTTGCTGGTGTTGCTAAGGGTAACTGAGTGTGTGATGAAGAGGCCTCCATCTATTATGCCTCATGGGAAGAAGAGTAACACTTTATCGGGCCGTTTGGCTGGGGCCATTTTTCAGGTACCACCCCACTAAAATACCACAGCAGTTAGCTTTAAAAAAAAAAATAAATAAATTACTAAAACTTAATCTATAAATAAAACTGAAAATATAAAAATGAAAGCTAATTTAGAATATAATTAAATACTATATAATATATAAATAATTCACTAAAATAACGAGTTAATAATTAATTTAATTAATTACTTAATAAATTAATTAAAATAATTTCTAGTTTATATGTTAAAGTGTCTGATGTAGTCCATACTCTGTTTGGTCGGTCTTCCTGTTCAGACTCTGATTGTGGCCTGGATCAAAGGGAATCTGAATGTGTACATCTCTCGGGAGCTGTGGGATGACCTGCTGTCTGTACTCTCATCTCTCACCTGCTGGGAGGAGCTGGTCACTGAGTGGTCCCTCACCATGGAGACACTTACCAAGGTACTAGCACGCAACCTTTACAGCCTGGACCTGAACGAGCTGCCCCTGGACAAGCTCAGTGAGCAGAAACAGAAAAAACACAAAGGCAAAGGTGAGTTTGTACAAAAATACAAAATCACAATGAATACTTTTAATGCTTGTACACAGATGAAGGTAGTTGCACAACATGCAAACTTAAGCTCTCATACCAGCTTCACTATCACAAGTATACATGATATATTTGTCCCTGCTACCTCTAGGTGGCGCCCATGAGTGCCAGAAAATCACTGTGGATAGGTCGTTCTCCAAAGGCTGGAGTCGAGACCCACCAGGCCAGGCTGCTGTCATGAGACAGCGCAGCGCTACCACTGCTGGCTCACCAGGCATCGAGAAGGCCAGAAGCATCGTCAGACAGAAGACAGTGGGTGAGTGTGTTTCAAACCCTTCTTGTCCTCTCTTCCTGTCAGTTTAAACCTATTTTAGGTTGCTTTAAATTGTGCAACCTTTGCTTATGTTTTTATCTGCATTGCTCTGTTACCCTGGTTCAGGAAGACAAAAATTAGCAAAGATGAAGATATTTACAAGGAGAGAACATGATTGTGTTAAACGGTGTACTTTAAGGTGCAGTCACATTAGTGTAATTTGGGCAAAAATAGTGTAGAGATGTATAAAGCACTGCTTAAACAGATATCACTTTCAAACCAAGCATCTTTTCAACATAGTGTATTCACGTAACCAACTTGAACCTATTGCGAAATTTGCTTGGGAAAATATTTCATCCTAACACGATATTCCAGGTTGAGTGGATTTCTATTGAAATGTCTGGAAAGTATGATAAATGTGACTGCACAGATTGCATCATACTTTGCATGGACTTTTTGGTCAGTATTACACTTGTGTTAGTGTATTATGATAGTATAATATAATACAATTGCTTTTGATACCATATAATCTATTGCATATATTGTGCATTAGCTTCTAGTTAAACTCATTACTGTAAAATTCATTATTACTACTGATATTTTGGCCATACTTACAACATTGTGAAGCTGAATAACTCACAAACTCCTTTTTTATAGTGCAAGGATTCTGGGTAGTATTAACCCATAAAGCATGGACTGATGCACAATAATGCACTACTGTTCAAAAGTTTGGGGTTGCTAAGATTTTTAAAATGTTTTTGAAAGAAGTCTCTTATTTTCTATTATAATATATTTTAAAATGTAATTTATTCTTGAGATTTTAAAGCTGAAATTTCAGCATCATTACTCCAGTCTTCAGTGTCACA